ACAAAATCTTATGTTATACTTAATGAAAGTATAAATAAACTCTAAGTGTTAGTCAATCTATTGTTTTGATGGGATACGAATTCTCCGAAACAAATTTCAACAATCCCAACCGTCAAACTTGTTTGTATATGCTTCAAGATCACATCAGCAAAAAAATCACACAAAAAACAAACATTAAGAGATCAAGTAACGAAACAAAGCTTTTCGACGGTTATAAACGAAAAATCACGATTTAACGGTTATTTTAACTCCGATTTTGATGATTTTTTACAGCTACACTCCTTGACCCTATATGAATACAATGAATGAATTCGATCTTCAATTTAAAATATTTACACAAGTGGATACCACGAAATCTTATATTATACTTAATGAAAGTATAAATAAACTATAAGTGTTAGTCCATCTATTGTTTTGATGGGATACGAATTCAAATTTCAACGATCCCAACCGTCAAACTTGTTTGTATATGCTTCGAGATCACATCAACAAAAAATCACAAAAAAACAAACATTCAGAGATCAAGTAACGGGACAAAGCTTTTCGACAGTTATAAACGAAAAATCACGATTTAACGGTTATTTTAACTCCGATTTTGATGATTTTTTACAGCTACACTCCTTGACCCTATATGCATACAATGAATGAATTCGATCTTCAATTTAAAATATTTACACAAGTGGATACCACAAAATCTTATGTTATACTTAATGAAAGTATAAATAAACTCTAAGTGTTAGTCAATCTATTGTTTTGATGGGATACGAATTCTTCGAAACAAATTTCAACGATCCCAACCGTCAAACTTGTTTGTATATGCTTCGAGATCACATCAACAAAAAATCACAAAAAACAAACATTCAGAGATCAAGTAACGGGACAAAGCTTTTCGACGGTTATAAACAAAAAATCACGATTTAACGGTTATTTTAACTCCGATTTTGATGATTTTTTACAGCTACACTCCTTGACCCTATATAAATACAATGAATGAATTCGATCTTCAATTTAAAATATTTACACAAGTGGATACCACAAAATCTTATGTTATACTTAATGAAAGTATAAATAAACTCTAAGTGTTAGTCAATCTATTGTTTTGATGGGATACAAATTCTCTGAAACAAATTTCAATGATCCCAACCGTCAAACTTGTTTGCATATGCTTCGAGATCACATCAGCAAAAAATCACAAAAAACAAACTTGATATTTTATGTATTTTAAATATCAATTAGACTATATTTCAATTCATGTGTGATGATATTTTATCATAAAAATATATTATTGTTTTATCATATAATTATATTATTGTTTTTTATTATGTATTAAATATTATGTATTAAAATATTATATGAGATAACTTGAAATATTTTAGGCGGGAATGAATGTTTGAAATGTTTTAGACGGGAATGAATGTTTGAAATGTTTGAAATATTTTAGTGTGTCAGACCTTGCGTTGGTTTTAACCAACGCAACGATTTCTTATTTCGACGCAAAGATGTCCCTGCTCCGACGCCACGACCTTTTAGTCAAAAGTGTGTCAGGCTGCTTGTATGTAGGTCGTGTCAGAGATAGTGTCGGTTTAAATCGACGCAAAGTTCAATTATTTCGACGCTACTGACAATTATTCCGACGCAATGTTCAATTATTCCGACGCTACTGACAAATATGTCAGTTTGTTAGAGATAGTGTCGGTTTTGACCGACGTAACGTGTTCATATTTCGACGCTAAGTTTTAAATCCATATTCAAACCCCGTTCTTTTCCCATTACTTCCGTGCTTCCATTTCCGTCTCTCATTTCTGTCTCGTTTACTCCCTCTCCTTCTCCCATTTCAGCCTTACTCCTTCCCCCATTTCTTCCATACTCCTGCTCCTTCCACTAACTTGTGCTATGGATAATTCTAGTGAGATCAACGCTCTGACGAACATCATTTGGAAGATGAGGAGTTCGAAGCCAGTACTTTTTTTTGAATTATTAAATTCAGTTTTTGTTTTGTGTTTAAACTTATATTATGCTTAAACTGAAAAATTTACTTTACTTTCCTAGTTTTTAATTGTTTTTTTTTTTGTATTAATAAGGAACATCTCAACGGAGCCGCGGATCCTCAATTCCCAAATGGACGAAACAACTTTGTTCGTTTGATTCTTCCGGCAAATGCATTAGTGACAATTCTAGTACTTTTGCAAAATATGTAGCAGGGAAGTTAGAGACCACAGAAATATTCCGTTGGTGAGTGATTGGTGTAAGATTAAGGAAGAAGATAAGGAAGTTTTCTGGAATAAAATAAAGGTATAGATATTTTTTTTATTTTTACTTGAAAATAGAAGAACAAGTCAATGATAGTAATAATAATTGGTTAGCTTGGTTTTTTTTATTTTTTTTTTTTTTTATTTTATTTTTTTTTAATGGATGTAGGGAAATATTTTTTTTGAAGATGCAGATATAGTAAAAATGTCTATGATCCGCCATATGACGCTTAAGGTTGCGGAGCATGCGCACAAAAAGTTTAGAAATAAGTTAAAAAAAAAGTTTTATACTAACAGAGCAGCGGAGGTGTGCAGCCACCCTCCTTGCGAAGTGAATCCTGCACAATGGGTTGCATTGGTGGCTTACTGGAATAGAGAAAAAACAAAGGTAATCGTTATGATTTATTTCATTATCACTTTAAATTTGTCTAAAAATTTCTGTTTTTTTTTTTCAGGAGGTTGCTGGAAAAAAAAAACGATTAATAGGCAAAAGGAAACAATGAACCATACTACTGGAATCAAATCTTTTCTAAGAGTGCGGCAAGAATTTGTACGGATTGTAAATTTTGGCACTATTTGTATGGATGAATTTTTGTATATTATGTGGAATGTTAAATAAAAAATATTCGTATATTTTGGCACTATTTTTCTTGTTAATTATTTTTATTAATGTTTGATTTGGCCTATACTTAAATTTATTATTTTGGTTATATAGTTTTTTTTTAGTTACAATTAATTGGAAACAAGTGCAGATTCTCAATTTTTTTTTATTATTATTAACAAAGGTAGTGTCGGTTAAGAGCGTCACTAGTTTGAATATTTTATTTTATTAATTGTTATCGGACTTCGGTTTAAGGATATTCAAATAGTTTATTTTATCATGATGTCGGATAAAACCGACACTAGGTTGGATATTATATAGTTTATTTTATTAGTTTATGTCGCTTTGAACCGACACTAGGTTGAATTATACGTCGCTTTAAATCGACGTCAGCTTCAGTGTCGCTTTTAACCGACGCTGAGTAGTGGCGGATTAAGCGTACAAACCGACACTGAAACTCTTTTGTGACGCGAGCATTAGTGTCGCTATTCCAATCCGACATTACATTGTTTTATGTCGGATTTTTGCCAAATTACCGACATAAATTGGATGTCTTGTCGGTTTTAGCTCCGCCGGGGATAGCTTGTATTGTAGTAGTGAAAATTAATGTTCTTTTGCAACAACTGCATATCCCTTCGTATTGTTACCGATTTGGTAAAACAGAACATGTCGTAAATATCACCTTTCTTCCATCTCCTACTTGCAGATGTTCTATGACGAGCTCGGAAATTTCTCGGCAACAAACAAAATATCCTTCTGAAGGAACAAATCCACACTCAGATCTGAGTAGGGATATATGCCTAATTCCATCACATGAATTATTACAGTGTAAAACAATGAGCACCGCACCATGTAGCTTCTGTCACGTTCTTTTGGTGTTGATATATTGATAAACGGGATCACCAGTGTCTGTCCTCCATACGGTGACATTCTTGTCCTGATCTCTCTATAGCTGGTACAATCATATATGCTAATCACTGAATCATATTTTATCACTATAAAGCCTCGATCCATCTTCACTGAATCTTGTACTCGTGCAAGAAACGTCGTCAAGCTTGATACCGGGTTGCCCATTACTAAACGGGGGCCCATTCCACAGTGACTCCTAATCTCAATTAAATCTCCTTTCTAAATGTGATGCTACTCTCTACATTGTTTCTTTTGTCCTCTTATTTAGCTCAATCTATCAAAAACGAAAACTACTGAAGAAATCAACCAAACACTAAGAAACCGAAAGCGGCTACTAATATCATCATTCTTCTGCAACCAAACGGCGCCTAATTCATCTTCAGCAGGGTTTATACATACATACATGCATACATATATATATATATATATATATTATATTTCCATAAATGAAAACAATTGACCGGCTATTGCTGCTGGGAAGATACTAGATGAGAAGCCACCAATTCCAAACACCTAAACCCAGCAAACCCAGCAAACATTCAGTTAAACAGTCGTACAGATACAGACACGGTACGAACAGAGCAAAGAACTGAGCTTACACTTGGGTTTTGCTTTTCTTTTTTTTTTTGGCAAACTGGTTTTTTCTTTTAGAGGCTTTTAAATTTGGAAATTGTATATAACTCATTTATTTTGAGAAAAAACTAATCAAAATGGTTGATTTGAGTTTTAACCAAAAGAATAAAAATGTGTTGTAAGTAAATAGTATCATAAGTGACTTTTTATAGTAAAAATATTTTTAATATTAAAAATGAATAGTATCAAAAATATCAAAAATGTTTCGTTGGTTAAGACTCCCATTATTTTGTCTATAAAACCAACTTTACAATTCTGTCCATCAACAATGTAATTACTTTGAATAATTATTTTTTAACTTTGTTTTTATCTTGTCACATCATCATTAAACGACTTATGTAATTGACTTTCTAATATATGTATGTCATTATAATTAAATCACAATTTTGTATGATATTGTAATGTTAACTGATAACGTATGATATTGTAATTTTAATAAAATTTGAGAATTCAAACTGTAATTTATCGTAAAAATAAAAAAATAAAAAATGAGTAGAGATAGACAAATATGTTACTGTTTTAAATGGGCCGGACATCGCAACCGACCGCTGATTTGAATAAGTTAAAGGGGAGCGGCGTAGATGCTAGAACCCTTAAACCCGCGTATTATCCAAAACTGCGACCCGAAAAGCTTCAGAACAAGAAGAAGGCTCGAGAAGGAAGGAGGCTTTGTGCTCCTCCTCCTCCATCACCATTTACAATTACAGTTTACAACTCGACGCAGCAAGGTACGATATCCGCCTCTCAGCTCTCTGTGTTCATGGAGATTAATATCATAACTTTGCTCTCTGATTATTCTTTCTTTTTTGAAGGTGATTTGAATTTCTTTCAATTTTTTTTAATAAATTTGTTTTCTTTTTGGTCATGCGTTTCCAATTTTTTTTTCATGGATTTTCAGAACCCATTACACTAACCCCCTTTTTTTCCTGAATTTTTAGGACCCTTTGCGATTTTCGTCATAATTTGGGATTTATTTCTCCTATTATTTGGTTGTGTTAATAGAATAGGAATGATGTTTACTTGGTTTTGTTGCATTGTTTATGGTTATTATGTAATTGGGCATGTGATACTATCAGGTTCTGTGTTTAGTTTTGGTAGACAAATTCATACGGGCTAATTGTTCAATGACACTTGAAGAATGCTAGTTTAGAAGTTTGAAGCTTCATGTGAGAGTTAGAAGGCACCCGAAGATTATTTTCCGAGGATGAACACCGTTCAGATAACATCCTGCCAGCCTAGCATCTATTTCAGAAACCCATCTCAATCTCTCCGCCTCTATTCTAGTCCGTGTTTGCTTCCAAATCGTGCTAAATGTCTCCTTGGAACTTCATTGAAACCAAAACATAATGCACGAATCCAGCAACAATGCGTGGCTGTACTGAAGAACCAGCAATGCGGGGTCGTATCTAAGTACCACCGATCTGCACCTGTCTGTTTATTGGGTGGCAAGGGAAAGAATGAAAACGGTGATGAGGTAAGAGACCTTTCTGCATGTTGCTACAAAATACTTGAGTTATTTATTATGCTTGAACTGTGTTCCTTTAAATGTAATGGAAATTTCATTCGAGTTACTAACCGTCTTCAAAGTTTCTGCCTTTCCTTATTGATATTGGTTCAAATGTCCCCTAGGAACCATCTGATCTTCCTCCCCTAAATTTTTGAGATTCCGGTGCTTTCCCGTAGAAATATCAGGATTGTTCTGCAAGGGGCCAATTTTGTACCTTTCATGCGCCTCATTGAATGCAAATAGTTAAGTGCATGATTAGTCATGTAGATCTTAAGTTGAATGATAGCTTTATCTTCTCATAAGTCTTGTCTTTTTCTTAATCATCCCTCCCGATTCTTCTTAAGTAGAGCATCTGATGTATTTAAAAGTACCATCAATCACATGACCTGCTTTCATCCACTTAATTAGTTGATTTCACCAACGCTCCCCTAATTTAACATTCATATATTTAGTCGGTCCAAATTGTAACTTATGATGTACTTTTTTAACAGAAATAGTCCTTTGAGTGCCAGTTGTTATGTCAGCATAGCATATAGACCAATTAAATCATTATTCTTAGAGTGGGAGGAGAAATTTCGAAGAAATCATATGCATAATAAGAAAAATAAATAAGCAATTCTTATCCACTTGATCAAACAGATTCTAGGTCACATGCACAATAATTGCTCTTTGTTTAGCATGAATAGTGAAGATCAGTTTGCTCGTAAATATGACCATGTGATGCTTAGATGATCACCAAAAATAAAAGTAAAATTATAATACACAATTTACCCGCTAAACTCAATAATGTCACTTAATGGGGTTAAATTATAAACGTGATGTTTTGAAGTTCAACAACATATGATACATTTTAAGTTAAGAGAGCAGTGATGACATTTATTATTTACTTAAAATTTGCAAGTATTTGGTGCATTACCCATCTTATTCATCAACCCTTGAGTCTTCGAGTACACAAGCTTATAATAGACTAAACAGGGTCAGAAGCACAAATTTTTTATCTGCTACTTACTCTTTTTAGGGCTTTATGGAAAGAAAAAAATCCTACATTTTGCTATCATGTTTTCCTTGTCATCATTGTAATGTTTCTTCTTTGGATTTGAGATGATGCTTTGTATGCATTTTTATTAAAATTATCATGATTTTTTTTTTTTTGCTAATCAAAGTCAAGTTTGTAGAGTAATTGATGTTGGGTATTGATGGGAGGAATTATTATGTATTTTATGGCATATATATGAAGATGTGTGCCCAAATTATAAAAAGGGAAGAGTTGAGAAGGATGGATGCTCATTAACTTCTGCAAGTTTCTTTGTAAGCGTGCAAATGCATCCCAGTGATGCCATATTCTCACTGCACTTCTTAATGCAAACAGGGTTCCCCCTGGAAGGCTCTTGAGAAAGCAATGGGTAATTTCAAAAAGGAAGGGTCAATAGAGGATGTGCTACGTCAGCAGATTGAAAAGAACGAATTCTATGAAGAGAAAGGTGGGGGCGGAGGTGGCAAAGGAAGGGGCGGTGGTGGTGGTGGTGGTGATGGTTTAGGTGGCTCTGGTGGAACAGAAGATGAAGGCTTTGCTGGAATCATGGATGAAACACTGCAAGTGATTCTAGCAACTGTTGGGTTTATTTTTCTGGTAATAATCCCACACTCTTGCTGTTTCTTGATCAGGCATTGTGTATTTCTTGTGTTTTACCATTTTATCCTCATCAATAAATTATGTTCTTCTAACTGTTTTCTTAGCAAAGGGTGATTTAGGATTTTCAAGAAGCAATAATGTCATTGAGTATTCGAGTAAAACAGTTATGATTTCTGTTTTAATTTCTTCAATGTGATGTTTTGAATAACATGCTTTAGTAAAGAGGTTCAAGTTGATGCCCTTGGAAAGATATTTCTCAAGGCCTTTACAGTTTCACCTCTTTTTGTTGATTTAGGCTGGGAAATAGGAAAACAATGAGTCTTTAGGAAGAGTGTTGGGCGGGGGAAACAGCTTCTGTAACCTTTTTTTGTCGCTCATACAAATCATCTCATTTTGATACTGCTTTCAGTGCAAGGTTGTGTTTAAGTCCGTCCTTCTAATCCTCTGACTGTTTAACAGACTTGTTGGATTGTTTTCATAAAGTTGGCTTGTTTAGAAAAAATGTTTTACTGGTTCCCTCTCATGCATTTGGAAGTCTATAGTACCTTTTAAGATACGAGTCTTAGATTTGATTATTGTTAGTTCGAGGATGAATACTTGTGATATGGTTCGGAGGAGATGGTCGTCTTGGCGTCTTTGATTCCAAAGGTGTATGTGTAATCGTTTGCTCCTTTATTGGTCATTGCTCTGTCCTTGTGGCAGGGATCGTTTAGGGAGTCTAACAAGCTTGGATATTCCAGTTTCATGCAAGGCCGTATTGTGTGAGAAGTATAAGTTCTTCGGATGGAGAAAGAAGGATATGGTGCAGGGACGATGGGAAGTTTTTCAGTATTGTGGATGGAAAGGAATATGATGATTTTTGTAGGAGCTAGTGTGTGAGGAGGTGGATCACTTGTGGGGGATAGGGTTGGATTTAGAGCGTCGGTGTCTTCAGAGTTCAAAAATAATTCTTTTCGGGCTATTTTATTTTTCTGGCTGGAGGGCTTCTGTGCAAAAAAGCCAAGCCTATTTATCCTAATATTTTCAATAAGAGCTATGATAATTGCTAGTAGTTGTAGATCATCAGATAAAGAATCTGGATGTGTAATATTACTCTTTTACCCAATATGTATTTACATTTCAAACTCGAATGGTTTTCTTGCAGTATGTTTACATCATCAGTGGTGAGGAGATGACTCGGCTGGCAAAGGACTACATCAAGTTTGTGTTTTCAGGGTCCAAGAGTATCCGTTTGCAGCGTGCAATGTACAAGTGGGGAAGGTTCTTCCACACGTTGACTGAGAAGAAGGAATATGATAAGTTCTGGTTGGAGAAGGCCATTCTCACCACCCCAACTGCGTATGATTCACCTGAAAAGTACCGCAATCTTGTTAGATCTCTAGAAGCAGATTCTGATGACGATGACGATGAATAGTACAAATCACATTGTATAAACCCTTTCCCTCGACGTTGTTCCATTTCCTGTTTATTTCGGAGGATTGTATAATTTTTTAGTGCAAGTTATTCAGTTTTTTGGGTATAATTTTCCATATTAAACCATACATTTTATAGCTTTTGACAGTTAAGATCCTAAAATAATAAAGTTGCTTTTCTGCACAACCTCCATTTACCAAGCTTTCCTATGACAATGTAGCAAAACCTTGAACATTCTCTCCTCCGTTGTGATTCAATCAAGCTCGAAAATGTGAATCGCTCGAAAATTCAATCCCGACCGCCTCGCCTTTGACTGTAATCGAAACACAGACGGGAGGGTCCCATAGTTTTCACTCTCTCTTTGTTTAAATACAAAATTTAAACAGAAATACAAATCATCTATCAACCTATACATATAAGATGATTTGATTCAGTTTGTTTTCCTGCTCTTATATGAATCAAATCAACCTGCTGGCGGGGATAATTGAAAGGTGGGACAACGATGGGGAGGAATGGTGTATCCCTTCCCTTGTAATTTGATTCAGTTTGTTTTCGGGGTCGGTGGGTTGCTGCTTAGATGGGTTGTTCCTGGTTAATGCAGGTGTTTTTTTTTTGGTTGCTGGCTCGTAAGAGCCTTTGTTGTGCTGCTCTGTTGAGTGAGCTTTGTTTTCTTCTATATCTTGTTGCTTCCTTTCATGGCCTGCTTTTGAATTAAAATATTCTTCTGAATCATTTGTCACCTACCACAGTCCCAAAAAGGAAAGCAAAGGACGTTAATGAATTAACAAGAGGCCCTAAGATGACGCAGGAGCTAGTAACGGAAGGACAGAAGCATATAGAAGAAACCATCGAGGCAGCTTTCTGTTGGATAGTGGCCAAATTAGTGCCAAAAGCATATAATAAAAAATGAAGGACATAATGATGTGGGAACATCATTATGAGGAGACCAATGATGATGTTCGTTGAAAAGAAAAAGAAAGGTCATGATGATGTTTGTAAATGAATTACTCTGGATTTTTTATTGGATGCTTTTGTATGGATAAAGGTTGCAGCCGAATGTGGGAGATGTGGGGGGAGCGGCATCAGATGAGAGCCATACCAGGGAGAGTGTTCGGCTCTCCCATTTGAAACAGTGCTACTCCTTCCCATTTGTTTGTAATCCCTCAATCAAAGATGTTGCTGCTACATGTTGTGTAGCTTTTGGGAGAGATGGTATTTGATGTGTGTCCATCTTCTCCAATTGTTCTTTGTGAGAGTGAGAGCTATTGGGTGTATGTGGGATTTGAGTTTGAGAGTTAAAACTCTATTTGTAATCTCCTTTTGATATTAGTGGAATTTCCTCGCTGTCTCGGAACTGGACGTAGGCTTACGCTAAACCAGTTTAAATCCTTGTGTCATTTGGATTATTTGTCTTATCATATTTTGCCGTTGTAGCTTATTGGTTTCATATTTGACGCTTCTGCACAACACTTTCTAGATTCTTTCGTCCATGAATGACGAGCTCTACAACCCCAGTCCACAGCTTCAGCTGGTGCTAACGCTGCAAATGGTCCTTCTTCCCACTCAAATGGTGTCAATGATGGTGATTCACCTTCTTCTGAAAACGCTTGTACCCATCACCATGGAGACTTATGGCTGGTTTGGTATTGCTGTGATTTGAAAAAAAACTGCTGTGAGAATAAGCGGCTGTGCTGTGAGAATCAGCGGCTGTGAAATAAATTAGCAGAGTGTTTGGTAAATTTTTTTGTAAAAGTGCTTTTGGAAAAAAAAGCAGTCTGATAGTGGGTCTTTTCATTAAAGAAGCACTGTAGCTCCGTATGCTTTGAAAAAAAGCCAGTTTTCCAAAGCTACAAATAGCAGCTTCAGCTTTTTCCTTTGATTTCAGCTTATTCTCACAGCAGCTTCCAAAATAAACCTTTTTTTTTCAGTTTACCAAACGTCTAAAACCCTCACAGCTTTTTTTCATGGGTGCTTTTTTTTTTATCACCTCACTCCCAAACCACCCCTTAGTTGGTGCTGGTGGTCCTGGTACTGAAGGATCTCTTGAAGAGGCTGGATTTCGGTATAAGAACTATGTGGCCTTGCTTCGTACTTGGAATCTCAAGCTTGGTGAAGTGCAGCAAAAAGTGTCAGTACATAATCTGAAATGTCATGACAATCAATCCCTTAGTTTTGATTCGTTCATTATCTACGAGCTTATGTGCATGTATATACGGACCTTATCTCAGCTTGAATGTCATCGATATCACCATTTGTTAAACATAATGCTGATTCTGCCAGAGGATCACCAAAACGATCAAGTAAAACATTCTACTGACCTTGTTTTTATTTATAGGAGCTTGTGAACAAGAACGCGTGTATCAAATTTCTTATCAATCAACTACGAAATCTTATTACTGACATATCAACATGGCAAAGTACTTGTTCCGTCTGACTGGCTTCTGAAGGAATCTCAAAAATAGGTGTCCTCAGCACTGAAAAGTTTGCAGGTGATGCTGTTTTTTGGTATTAACTTTGCACAATCAGCGAGCTTTGATATTTCTTACTTGTGTACGCACCTTTTCCAATCAGTTTACTGAGTAGTGAAGGTTTGTACTTCTGATGTTAAAGATCAAGTTATCGGAACAAATTTCTGGTATGATTAGCTTATTTCTTTGTTCATTTTCATGCATGCGTGTTGGAAACGCCAGAATTCCTACGGATTTTCTGTAGAAACAAAAAGAAAACACCATCCAAGTTTTAATATAAATCTAATGACGGGGTACTCCAGTGAAATGTACATGCCGTCAAGAGTGTTAGCCTGTCTGCTCAAGAAAGGGTGGACTATCAGCTCATTTCTGTCAACATCCAGGTATGCCATTGCCATTTCCTACATTTACTCAACTATGTATAATTTACACAGTTAATCTCTCTCAGTCTCATTTTCGTGATATAATTTATTGTAACGCCGTTTGGACAGTTCCAGCTTTTCAAGAGCAAGATATCTCCCTCTTCGCGCAGTAAATCCTAATTTCGTTCTTCTTATTTTACTAATTATGGGCATACATTTTCAATATTTCTGTATAATATTCATTCCAAATCGAGAGAACCATATGCCGATACACGTGACATGTGAACATGAAATTAAAAAAGATACGGTAACTTGTAAACTTGAATCAGAATCTAGAGAGCCATATGCCAGAACATATGCCGGTAAATATGGGCATGCATTTTATTCTTACAACACACATACAATGTACATTGTTTGTACAAGTTCCTTTCCCATCAAACAATGTGATGTTCTGGTATGGAACGAAATGTGCATATAATCATATATGAGCCTTAATTATAATCCGTAAACGGAACTATAAATAATGCTTTTCTTTGCAGCATTGAATTGCACCGATGAGCGTTTCATCAACCCCATACTTGAATGTGAAACCTGAATCCAAGAGCTTCTTCGACGACATACCAGGTGTTTTCTCACCCTTAAGCTCCCTTAAATACCTGCACAGAAAGATCAAATGAACCGAGATGAAGGATATTTTGATTTCAATCTCGAGATTGGAACACAACGAGAGAATCACGTTCATAATATGAAGAATAACATTTGACGTACCTTACTGAGGGTATTTGAAACTCCGGGTATTTGGCAGAAAGAAACTCAGCCGTTTGAACAAGGGTTATGACATGTGATGAGCAATTGCACCTCCCTTTTGCATCATGATGTTCGAAAAAGAAAATGTGCGCTCTGGCAATATCATCGACATGTCACATGCACCATGTTAGAGTATAATCAATGGTAGATAATGTGCCTTTTGTCAACTCAATGTAAGAGCAGTTAGTTACGATTGTTGGTGAAGCTGTAATGATGTACGGCTTTACTATAAATAGTAGTTGTGGTGTAATAACTCTTAGTTAAGCAAAAGTCTTACAATTTACAAAAACCACTCATTTCTCTCTCTTCGATCTTTCTCTTTCTCTCTCTAAATTTCATCATTTCTTGATTAATGGCTGACCAAGAAAGCTAAGCTCATCAAGGTTACCAAAGACCAGAGTCAGTGTACCGTGAATGGAGCCGGGAAGCTTAGGACAAATGAAGTGGCCAACCACAAAAGAAGGTATTACTGTCACAGCATCCAACCCATATTTCTCTGAAAATTCAAGAACTGGCTTCTCAGTTAATGTCTTCGAAATCATGTATGGTCCATATCGCTTTATAGGTCTAATGTAATCTATATCGCTCCAAAAACTTTCATCCACTTCCTCAACATCCTTGCTGCTGCCAAACATGACAGCGGCTGCACTAGAAGTGTACACAACTCGTTTCACTGTTTTTGCGTTTAAGCACGCCTTCAGAATGCCGAGGGCTCCATCAATTGATCTTTTGGTCACTACTTCTTCAGGTTCCTTGTCTTGGAAATCGACTGGAGTGGCAACATGGAACACTCCGATGCACCCTTCGACGGCTGCATTGAAACTGTCGGGTTTGCTGAGATCCGCGTTGAAAATTTTGAGCCTTTCGGTTGCTCCTGGTAGACTTGTGAGGTAGCTTAGATCTCTCTGGTTCTCTGGCATATACTAAGAGCGGTTTCAACATGGAACGAGACACAAACATGCAGCTCAATCAAAACTACTTATTAACAAAACTCTATTCATCAACCAAAAGAAGGTGAAAAATTCAAATTAACCACGCCAGCAAAATTAAACCCAAAATAACCAAAATAAAAGTTTTGGGCAATATAGTAATTCCAAAATAATTTTACTGTTTTTGTTCAAAGTCTAACAGACAAGAACATATATCAGTTACCCCTTTTTCTCCCAATAGATAAACTTTTAGAGACAAAATAATTACCTAAAGAGATGAAATGCCTTTGCAACGACGAAACATAGTTTAAAGGTTGTCACCAAAAAACTTAATGACCATTTATATTTTGTCTCTTTGTAAATTTTATTTTAACTTGATAACTTTTAGGCAATTTCGAAACACAAAAGTAGTTGAAATTAGAAAGATTAAAGTATGCTTCTTCCTAATGATATTGTTATTAAGGAAATTGCTAGTATTAATATACCTTGGACACGTTTGTTTTGGGGCTTGACCCTAATGATATCTTTTTGATTAATCTGCTACTAATCTTAGCAGAGATGGAAATGGAAATAGGCAAAGGAATAATTAAAAAAAAAACTAAAAATTTAAACACTCTCTCCCAAAATAAAAATTTTGTTTGGAGTTTTCTGCACAAAGAGCTTAATACCAGATCACCCCGTGGAACGTATGTGAGACCCATCAATCAATAAGACGATGCCACATGTGCCAATTAAAATTTGATTATAAATCTTTACTGTGTTAACATTCAACAATAAGAAAATATTAAGTTTAAAAGAAGAAAATAAGGACATGATTTCTTGGGTTATTGTGCTTGAGCTGCAGTGAGAGAAAAATAAAAAAGAAATTGATTAGCTTGTGCACCCAATCAAACCCACATAATGAAATTTACTCAAATTCCACGGATGGCAAATCAATCATAGAGAAAAAGAGGGAGGCAGAGGCTGGGTTGATAGTGAGGAAGAGAGAAGCGAGAACTCGTCGGCGAGGTGGGGTTGTTAGTGGTAGGATAAATGACGCCAGGAGGTCGTTCTTCTCTTTTTGGGTTTTGGTTCACCATTTCACCATAATACCCAGTCCTCTTTTTTGCATTTTTAATTCACATCAACATATTTGATGGCTTATGAACGAAATTAAAGCAACTTAAAGCAACGTGTAGTGAATTTGAGTTTAATGGAGTAAAATGATGCCTCATGGGGCAAAGTGGGATTAAAATAAAGTTGTAGGGGGATGGTTTAGAGGATGTAGGTAAAAATAAGTCTATGATATTACAATTTTACCCATCCACGTCAACTTTAACGCTATTTGACAGATGAAATGAAAACATGTTAAAGTAGAGCGGATTTTGAGTTTCAAGGAGTAAAGTAATGACTTTTGAGTTACAAAAAGCAAAATAAAATTCAATCAAGTTCTAGGAAGCGTAGCTACAAATAAACCTCAAAAAATATCTCCTTAGCATGGAAAAAGGCTCACCATATTCGACAGTTTCATTTAATGGGCATAACAATTTCATTTTCACTTTTTACTTCATTGAGAAGGAGAATGCATATAATCTACTGTTAACTGCCGTTTGGACAAGTTCATACACGAAACATAAGAGGAATGATGAAGAGTGGATGGAGGTAAATCCTAATTTTCATGATTTAATCTACTGTAACAGTCGTTTGAACAATATCCAGCTTTTCAAGACCAAGACATCTCCCTTTTCGCGCGGTAAATCCTAGTTACGTAATCTTTTTATTTTATTAAGTATGTGCATGCATTTTCAATATCTGAACTACCTATCTTCTAAATCTTCTTTGTTAATCAAAAGATGGTGAAAAGACTATTTAGTCTCCTATCACAAAAAAAAAAAAAAAAAAAAAATTGATGAGCAATAATGTAATTTCACAGATCCATATTTTATTCTTTTTTATTGAAGCATCACCTACTGTTAAGATATATATAATATTAAAAAAGTCATAAACATAAACCTCCCACTCCCACCCATGCTCTCTCTCTCTATCCTTCTTATTTTAAAACAAAAATAAAAAGTATTCGTACATACAAAGTGTGTAGGCATATACTAGTTTTGTATAATGTTTACTCATAATCGAGAGAGCCATATGCCAATACACAACATGAGCCTTAATTATGATCCGAAAACGGAACTATAAATAATGCTTTTCTTTGCAGCATTGAATTGCATCGCCGAGAATCTCATCAACCCCATACTTGAATCTGAAACCAGAATCCAAGAGCTTTTTCGATGACAGACCAGGCATTTTCTCACCTTTAACCTCCCTTAAATAGCTGCACAGAAAGATCAATAGAACCGAGAAATAAAGATACTTTGATTTCAATCTCGAGATTAGAACACAACGAGAGAATGATCACGTTCGTAGTATGAGAATACTAGTTGACGTTAAAGACACACATTATCCTCAGTCAACACAACAGTGCCATCTAGAGTCCAAGGCTGGAACACAACAATTACTTAGCTTTTAAGTTTTCTTATTGTAACTGATTTGTAACTAATCATAGATTAAGTTTAATTAGTTACATTAGTTAATAACTAAACTTTATTAGCTGCTGTGTATAAATACCTCCAATGTAAATCATTTTAATCAATGAGAAATATATTTCTAATATGGTATCATCCCCTTTTCTGCTTAACCGCATTTCTTCAATCCTCTTCTCCATCACCCCCTGCGATCTCTGATTTCTTCGATCTTTGATCTTCCATCTTCAATTTCTTGTGGATCTTGATCGATCTTCTCTTCTCTCCTACTATCTTTCTCGATTACAATGACATCGTCGAGTTCCTCTCCGATGAATCCTGATGTTCTTTCCCCAAATTCGTCCTCGACGAACCCTAATTTCACAGCGGTTCCGTCTTCTCCCTCAATTTCTTCGATTTCAATTCAGCACATCAGTTGTATGGTTCCTACAAAGCTGAAGCGTGACAATTATCTTGTTTGGAAAGCATTGTTTGCTCCAATTTTTCGTCGTTACAAGCTTACAGGGATTCTTGATGGCTCGGAGGTTTGTCCTTCGCCATTTTTACTTGATGCATCTGGCAACACCACTAGCACTCCCAATCCGACTTTTGATTTGTGGTATGAAAAAGATCAGAATATCCTTATCTGGCTTAACTCCACCCTTTCGAAAGATCTCATTCTGTTTACTGTTGGTGTTACATCGTCTCGAGAGTTATGGTTGAATCTTGAGCAACGATTTGGCGGCGTCTCTGCTGCTCATATTCACCAGCTTCGATCTCGCCTGCACACTGTTCAGAAAGGCGATCTCACAATTTCTGACTATATTCAGCTAATCAAAACCATTTCTGATGCACTCATGGCTGTCGGTGCTTCGATTTCTGAAAGTGATCTGATTGCAGTTACTCTTAATGGTCTTTCTGAGGATTATGAGTCTTTTATTGACTCCATTATGCTACGCATTTCCTCTACTTCATTGGACAAACTGCATGGCCTGCTGATTAATAAAGAATTGTTCATGAATCGTAAGAAGAATACTGTAGCTTCGTCAGTATCTGAACCCTTTCAAGCTTATGCAGCTCAGTATCAACATTCTCAAGCGCATTTTCTTCCCACACCACAGGGTCATCCTGGACAGAACTTGTACATCTCTGCTCCCAGGCAATTCAATCGTGGCAAAGGAACTTACAGGGGTAATAACTATCGAGAAACAATAACTATCGAGGCAATAACTATCGGGGAAATTCTAGAGGCAATTTCAATCGCAACTCTGGAAGTCACACTCGTCATTCTGGAACCACCACTAGTCACCGAGATCCTTGCCAAATCGGTCATTCTCCAGATCATGAAGCATTGGATTGTTTTGAACGGATGAATCATGCCTTTGCTGGAAAAATTCCTCCTGCAAAATTGGCAGCTATGTGTGCTCACACCACCATCAAATCCTCTTCTCCTACTTGGCTTATGGACTCCGGTGCCACGTCTCACATTACCAATGACATCTCTGCCATTCATTCTCCCACTCCTTACAATGGTCAGGACAAGGTTTACATTGGTGATGGTCAAGGTATGCCCATCCACCATACTGGTACAACCTTTCTTACTACTCCTACTGCCACTTTTCGTCTGAATAATGTTTTACATGTTCCTGCAATGAAGCATAACCTTCTTTCTGCGTATCAATTCTTACAAGACAATCACTGCAAACTAACCCTTGATTCTGATGGCTCTAAAATCAAGGATCGTATTTTGGAGAGGATGCTTTTCCGAGGACCAGTTAAAGATGGTTTTTATCCTTTTCAAGGCATTCCTCCAGCATCCACTTCTCCCTCGGCTCTTGTCAGTAGCAAAGCTCCTTTACAAGTTTGGCATAATCGGCTCGGTCATCCATCTTCTGCTATTTTTCGGAAGACTTTAAATAGTAGTACTATAGTCTACAGTGATAAAAAGTTTACTTCTTTCTTCTGTTCAGATTGTGCAATTGGCAAAAATCACAAATTGCCCTTCACTGCAAGTATTAGCTCTGTATCTGTGCCCTTAGAACTTGTTCATTGTGATGTTTGGGGACCTGCCCCTACATTGTCTCTCAGTGGTTATAAGTACTACGTGTTATTTGTTGATGAATTCACAAAATATAGTTAGATGTTTCCATTGAAGCTCAAATCTGAGGTGTATTCAGTTTTTGTGAATTTCAAGTGTTATGTAGAAAACTTGGTTGGCAATAAAATCAAAGTTCTCCGCTCCGATTCAGGGGTGAATTTACAAGTTCAAATTTTAATTCCTTTCTTCTGCAGCATGGTATTTTGCATCAATATTCTTGTACTCACACACCGGAACAGAACGGTTGTGTTGAACGAAAACATCGGCACGTCACAGAAACTGCTCGGACTCTTATCACTGCATCAAAGGTTCCACATTCATTTTGGTTTGAGGCATTCTCTACTGCCTTCCACATTCATTTTGGTTTGAGGCATTCTCTAATGCCTTGTATCTGA